CCCCAAAACCCCAAAACCCCAAAACCCCAATCCGCTTAATAACATAAAAAGCAAGAATGATAAATTTTATAGCAATCAATTTATGAAATTCACATGAAACTATTATTTAATTTTGGTAAGTTTCCTAATGAATGTGATCCAAGCTCTAAACTACTTTTATTGCCATCAATTTATTTTTATTTCTTTATTGAGCTAAACTATGATACCTCAGCTGAGTTAATCTTATTTTCAATATCTTTTAGTTTATTTCGCATTCCATAGTTGCTATAAGCTTGTAATATAGAATCACTGGGCTAATTTCCCTTCTTAAGCTAGATTAAACTTTAAGAATGTATTTATTAAACTGATGCGCTTGTTGTATAGGCTCCAGAGCTAAGCTAATTATTCAGGACATATTTCTAATTATTAATTGAAGTAGGTTTCTAATTGTTTTGAGTCTAAAAGACTCTTTGGTTTCTTGCAAATAACTTAATCTTTTTTTGATCCGTAAAACTACTATCATGAATGTTTTATGCACTTCTATCTAGTAGTTTGCTTTTGAGATGAGTATTATTAGAGTAGTTGCGAGAAGTATCATGATCTAATTGTGTAGAGTCATTGTAAATATTATTATTGGAATAGGGAGATTTACTGTTAAAATTATTGAATGGGGATACTGATGATTGACTGCCTTTGATATTAGAGTATCTATTTAGCTATGATTTTAAGTTAAGTTTTTGTTAAGTGCTAATTATTGGCTTATTAATTAGAGTCATGCTTCTATTAATAGGTAGATCTATAGTAGCTTGACTTAGGTCTTTATTTCTTGAAGATTGCATTATATTTTTCGGTAAATCTGTAAGTAAAGGTTATAACTACTTAAGAAGTACTAATAATAGTGCTACACGATCTTTAGCAGGTACATCTTCTATCTTATCATATTCTTTTATTGACTCAACATCTAGATGTATGTCTTGATTTTCCTAAATGAGACCCTCATTTTCAGATAACACTTCATCAAGGTACTCAGTTAAAATCATTGCTAGCTTTTCATATTTCTTTTTTTCTTTTTCCAATTTTTCCTACATAAATTAATATTCATCCTAGAGTGATTCTTAATCAACTTAGGCTAATCTCAATTTTCCATCTATATCACTTATTCTTTTCTCTAAAAAGTTCATTAGATCTTGATTATCATTTGAATTTAGGTCATTCAGCCCCTAATTATTTTTGTTGAATCTACTGAATTTGTCCTCCTAAATATCTTTTATTTAAGCTTTTAAATCTGCTATCTGCTCTTTATACTTCTCTATAACTTTCTAGCAGAAGTGCGATCTTTTAGCCAGTTCTTTCTCTACTTCCTCATGAATTTATTTATCCTTGATCAAATTCTTTATCTCATTTTACATTTGAAAGTTTTGAAACATTAGATGCTCAGTCTGCTTAGATTGATACTCTAACTCACTTGTCAATTATTTGTTTTGCTTAATGGTCAGTCTTGTTGTCTATATTATTATAGATAAATAAATATTCTTACTCCTTGCAGTTTGTCCTCAGTTAAATTAAGCATGGCAGTTTTAACTTCTTTGACTCTTAAAAGCATGTCTTTTCGCATTTTTTCCATTCTTTACACCTTATCATTCTCAATCTCATTTAAGACGACTTCGTGTCTTTATCTCTCATTATTCAACAGATCTCTTAGATTTTAGACCTCTTCCTAAATCTGCAATCGAACTTTTTTAAATTCATAGATGCCATTTAACTCCTCTTTCATTTCTGCTAGTACAGCTCTTTTATTTTCTATCTCCTGTTTATTCCTCTCTGAAGCATCAAAAACTTCTTTCTCTATATTAATAATTAGAGTGGTTTAATGATTATTTACAATGATTCAAATCCATTTAAAAAAGCTCTCGATTAATGGCTCTGATCGTTTCTATCTGATTAGTTTTATCCTCTTTAAGCTCATTAATTTATTAGACTTAGTAATCTTTTATGATTTTCTATATATTGATAATACTCCCAAAAATCAAGTTTACATTCTACTCTTTTTAGTGCTTTCTCTCTTTATCGATTTCATTGTATCTTTTGACATAGAGCTTATTGCTTTCTTCACTATGATTGCAAATTATTAATAATTTCAAGAAAATTTAGTTCATTATAATATAAAAAGAATAGTTGCTTACAGTTTTCTAATTTTATCCTGCAATCTCTCTATTAAGATCTTATTCTCAATAGTCTCGCTTTTTATTTCTTTTGCAGGCCTCTCGAAACTATGATGAAATGATTTAAATATGTAATTTAATGGAGCGACTATAGAATTCTTACCCCAGCTGATATTCGTTTTAAGAATTGTTTGCATTCATCATTTGATTAATTAATTTCACAAAAATTAAAACATTTAGAGTTACCGGGGTTTTGGGGTTTTGGGGTTTTGGGG